GGCCTGATTTGGCGTTATTGACCATATATCCGATAATCTGTAACAAAGAATTCCTATTCAGTGAGCCGGGACTTTGGAAAAGTGACCTTATATGCGGATGACCCTATATCGAGGTCTGACTGTATATATATATATATATATATATATACAACAAAATAAATAAATGCAAGAAAACACGAAGAAAGTTAAGAAAAATAATAAGTTTCATTCCCCTTTTGCATTTGTCTATAATTTTCCTTTGTTTTATCTTCATTTTGAACTTATCTAATGAGTTCTGTTTACTTGCAGCTTATGCGCAATAAATGAAACTTATTATTTTTCTTAACTTTCTTCGTGTTTTCTTGCATTTATTTATTTTGTTGTATATATATATATATATATATATATACAACAAAATAAATAAATGCAAGAAAACACGAAGAAAGTTAAGAAAAATAATAAGTTTCATTCCCCTTTTGCATTTGTCTATAATTTTCCTTTGTTTTATCTTCATTTTGAACTTACGTATATATATAATTTTTTTTCGTGAAATATAAATTTAAAAATATGACTTGATAAAAAAATTGATATGCTTAGATGATATTAAGGGGATCTTAGCTTTAAATGGTTTCCCTTCCTGTCAATCTTTTGCATAATGTGAGATCGGAAATCTAAATCTATGCTAAAAAGGCAAGTTTATTCAGAAAAAGTAAGTTTTATGTTTTAAAATATGGTTTGTATGCATTAATGAACATAATTAGGTCTTCGAACCATTAAGATTGAACATGAAAATCGAATCTATTCCATCAGAAGTTTAAAAAAGCTCTCTCCTTTTTGCGCATTCTATAGATACATAAATATGAAGAGATAAAAAAAAAAAATAATGAAGTGATCAATGAAGAGTTTTGAAATTAAGTTCACTGAGAAAAAACGAATGTTCAAAATTGAAATAATAAGGTAGAATATTCGGTGTTTCTGGCTCAATGGGAACATTAAAAAGCTCGGTAATTTCTACCGACGCGCTTTGGTAATTATTTTTGTAAAATTAACAGTAGATTATGGTTTTACAACATGTGATAAAATTTGGTAGCATTTATAATTTTATCATGATACCTTAGACTATAGCAAAAAACTCATTTATTCTGATAAATTTACTTTTATATTTTTCACTATTAATGTATGATATTAAGTAGTATGATTTTTAAAAGCTAGAATTTCCTCGAAATCCTCAACATATGAACGGAAAATGTGCCAAATAAATAGTTTAAGTAACCAAAATTATGTTGTTTTTCTTTTAAACCGGAAATGTCATTATTATACAGAACGGTAATTTTACTAGAATCTTTTTTTTCTATGCGATGAACTGCTTCAATCTTGACTTAACATCAAAACATATAATTTTATGTATGTTTAAGTAATAAATCCGGTAATACTAATACTTACCAGTCAATATTATTAATAACAGCTTCTTTTAGTTAAAGTAAGAAATAGTGTAAATTATTCACTTTAATCGGTTATTATTAATAATAACCACTAATAACAATTTCTTTTGGCAAAATGAGAAATAAAAAGTGGAGATTTTCGTATCGTGATCTGTGGCAACTTCCGGCAGCGGCTCGCGAGGAATTAATAAAAACATCACAGACAGGGACCAACTCGAGGGGTATAACTCGTAGTCACCCCCCGGAAAACATCTTCATCTTTTAATTATTTTAAATTGCCGACCAGGCGGCCGAGTGGCTAGCGTGTCTGACTGCGGAATCCTTGGCCGAGGGTTCGAATCCTGCTCAGGGCATAGATATTTCTTTCTCTCTTTGTGTTCTATGTCCTTTCCTCTTTGCGTGAATGTGACCCGCCCTACAAACGGGTTTGTGGTTGTGTGACGTGGGCGACGCTGCTCCACCGCCGTTGCTTTGACACAGGTGCCCACTGGGTAACGAGAAGAGAGTAGCAGTTCTGTGGCCAATGGGACAAACCCTAAGTGCCCGCCATAAAAAAAAAATTTTTTTTTTTAAAATTTTTCCTGTTTAAAATCAATTTGGCGCCTTGGCGATTGCAGTTGGCGTGGCAGATCACGTGGCATTGGGGAAATATCCCCAATGAAAACGCGAAAGAATGACATTGACCTAACTCCATTCGTTATTATTAATAATAAGATATAATGGGATTATATATTAATGTGATAAATTCGCGTAAATTATTTACTTTAATTGGCTTACTTGGTTATTTTTAATATTGTCCCATTAGTATTAATAATAACCGACTATTCATATTGACCGGAACATAAATATACATACATATACATACATACATATACATACATACATATACATACATACATATACATACATATATACATATACATACATATATACATACATATATACATATATACATATACATATATACATACATATATATATACATATATACATATACATATATACATGTATACATATACATATATACATATACATATACATATATACATATATACATATATACATATACATATATACATATACATATATACATATACATATATACATATACATATATACATATACACGTGTGTGTGAGTGAGTGAGTGAGTGAGTGTGTGTAGTTTTAGTTTCCAATTCACAATGCCAACTTCATAAATCTTAAAAATGAACTATTTTCAAATAAATGTTTGTATAAAGAATAAACTAACCGGAAGGGGAGGGAAGTCGATGGCAACTCTTCGTTTCCTGATTTCTTCCAGCCTAGCGAGGACGTCTTTATAGTGGGTGCGAAGCTCGTCGGCGTACCTCGTGGCTAGAGTTTCTAACTGACCCCGGCTCCCATCCTGAAAAGAAAACTTTCATTTCATATGCATTTTTAAACATTAATTCATAAACTTGTAAATATACTTTACTAGTATTATAAATGTATAAATGTACCTTAATATATTATAAATTTGTAAATATACTTATTAATGTTATAAATGTGTAAATAATACCTACTAATATTATAAATGTGCAAACATACTTTAAAATAATATAAATATGTAAATAAATTTATTAATCTTATAAATGTGTAAATATATACTTACTAATCTTATAAATGTGTAAATATATACTTACTAATCTTAAAAATGTGTAAATAAATTTATTAATCTTATAAATGTGTAAATAATACTTACTAATATTAAAAATTTCGAAATATGACATAAAAGTAATTTTGATCGTACGATCGATTAGGGGTAATTCAGAAATTTTGAAGCGGGGTTGAACTACATTGTAGTTTGCTGTAACATTGTAGGTGCACTTTTTATCGTCATTTTTAAGCTAGACTACACGATGATAAGGTTCAATTCCACAATAGAAATATTGTTCAATATAAGCTCTTATTGAGGTTGAAGCAAATTTATACCGTTTCAACGTTGAACTGATTTTTTTTTTTTTGAGAGTGCACGTTGGAGAGACTATAACACGATTAGAGAAACCCCTAATATCGTTTAAATTTGCTGTAACTTTAATACAGCTTTCAAGTTGAACCATTAATTAATTATTCTTAAATTGCTTAATTATTTTTCAAGTGAAAATTAATTATTCTTCAATTTATTTACATATTTGTAAGGCTCACCTTACACGAAAATGTGATGAAGTTCAATGAGCTGATACATATTATAACATAAATCACTAATAGGGTTCAACATTGAATCGATTTTACTTTAAGCGAATAAAATTTGAAAAGATAAAAAAGCAATAAAAAATTTTGGTTCATTAGAAATATACTTTGAATATTGTTTCACCACCTAGATTATCAATCCTCTTTTAACTATTTTAATATTTTTATTCAATAATTGCGAATTTAAAGCTTTGTGATAAAGAACAGTGATTTCAATCCTATATTTATTTCAGAGATATGTACAGGTTGCCAAAATGAAAAGTGGACAAGCGTGATAGTCTCCGAAATCCAGAAGAGATTTCTGCGACACCCTTTAGGATTGTATTAAGTCACGAGAAGGGCATCGCAGAATGCTCATGACCGATTAAGAAGTTCACGTGAGAACATTTTAAGTGGATGTCACACTATGTTATGCCAAGATTGTCACAAAGCGATTGCTCGAAAACGAAAGTTCTTATCAGAATGTACTGCTTTTGCACAAAAATCAAAGTTCAAATTATTTATGTCAAGCTTTTGCATAAACCATAAACAAAGCTTAACTAGAAGCCACTTCTGATGTATAAGTATAACTGTCTGATAAAGCACCACATTTTAAGACTATTATTGATGAAAAGAAATACTTTTTTTATTCTTTTCCTTAACTATTTTCAAATTAAAACTAGTAGTTTTACTTTGGTTAGCTTCGGTTTACTTTGCTAGCAAGCTTTATTAAGTAAGGGTTTCGTTAAAGAAAATCGTTCCAGAGTTTTGTAGCCGAAAAGAATTGGAAACCGCCGCCATATTCTATTTATAACAAAAAATATCGTTGCTTGAATAATTTAACAATAGAAAAACTGGGAATTTTAAATTCAAATATTTCCTTGAACTGAAAAAAAAAAATATTTTTTTAATATTTCCAGTGGGTGGACAGCTGAATTTAGGCTTTTTACTTCATACTGTACGATTTGATGAAAGGAACGAAATCACATTCCCTTCGAAATAAATCCAATCTCTCCCGTAGACTTCCATGGTTCAAATAGTCTAAAACTGAAAGGGAAAAAAGTAAGAAAAAAAAATACTGAAGCAACCTGTGTTTAATGTCACAACTTTTTCCCTTTTATTCAGTTCTTTCTAGAATCACATCGACTCTCGAATGTTGGAGACGGCTAAAAAAAAAATCAATGAAAATAGACTTTGTCCGACGCATTCTAACTTAATAAAAAAAAAATTTGAAAGAGAATTACGAACTCGTTTGTGTTACTGTTTCATGTGGAAAAATAAACTTTTTTTTTCTTCGATTTTTCTGATTTGGAAAAATAGCTAAGCCCCGAGCGCCTGTTATACATTTTTGCAATTTTTCCCGAAAAGTTAAAGGGGATGATGGATCGATTCTTACACAAAGTCACGTTTAAAGGTTCTCCTCCTATTCAATACTGTGCCACCTGGTTTTCATCTTTTCAATCTATACTTTTATCAACAGCCAATGCAAGGAAACATTTTTAAATCGTATTTTGTAAGCATTTATTCAAAATATGTTCAACTTAACACTTTGAAAATTTTAACTCTTTTTTTCCCCCATTAGGAAATAAAATCACTCATTTTTTTCTAGCTCAGATTGCTTTAAAAACTGGCGAGCGGATTCTTTAATGTTCTCTTTTTAAAAATATTATTAGATAGTGGGTACTTACCTCGCCGGCACAGGTGATTAAGTCGCCAATATAAAGTCACTGCACTCAAGTAAACGCAACTGTCTTTTTCTTAAAATTATTATTTTAACTTTAAAGTCGACGGCGATTTTTTAAAAGAAAAATGAAATATTAAGACAAAAATAAACAAAATAGCCGAATTAATTTGCATCGGTGAAATGAAAATGTGCCCGAATTGTCAATCCAGTGATGGCTCTTTTTCGAAAGCTCCGTCGTCATATGAAATGATGCTTTTTGTTTGCGAACAACATGCTATTTTTATGACTGCTGCGAGTTTGCAACAGTTAGACATGACTGTTAAGTGAAGATTAGCTTATCTAAAGCAAAGCGCTGTCTTTGAAAATGGCGCAAAACGTCAACTCTAAGAAAAGGCACAGTTTTGTGTAAATGAAAAGCATTCGTGCTCTCATTCTTTAATATTTAAGAACTTACTCCAATACTGCATTACTTGAGCTCATCAAAATTTGCAAAAACTGAGAATAAGGCAGTGATTTTTGATAATTTTCATTTAGGTGGAACAATGTCGAGAAATTAACGATTTTTAAAAGAATTTTAATAACGTTTAAAATATTTAAGTTATCTGCCTGTTCTAAATTCTTTACTGCAAGATTATATACATAATTAAAATATTCGCATTGCTTCAAGTGTAAGGCACTTTTACGATGCTTTTTATTTTCCTTGGCGACAGAGCTTCGAAAGACAACTCTAAATTCTTTTTTAAAACAGCAAGGTTTTTAGATTCTGAAATCACGTCTGAAATTTATTTCGATATAATTAAGTTATAAATTACCAAAAGCGGGGCAATTTGTACCTTTTGATATTTTGTAAAATTTATCCATTTAGTCATTTAATTTCTCTCTTTCTTCTGTTTTTTTTTCTTCTTCTTTCTTTTAATCTTGTTTTTAATATCACGTAAAAATTTTATGTTACTATGTACTATGCTGTACCTCTGTTGTACCTTCGGGCCTTGTGTGATATTCCTTGGTGCACAGGGAGATATTTTTGTTTTTCCAAATTAAAAAAAAAAATACATTGTCAAATTTCACACATTCAATAGACGAAGAGCATTGTTGGCTATAAAATGTTGTTTTAATTTCAAACATCACTCTTTAATTGGGAACTGTAATATTTGTGTTTTAAAAGACTAAATTTAAAATATTAAATTAGGGCATTAAAATATAAATTCGATTGTTTTCAAAAATAATTACAAAATTCTTACATACTTCTGCATTTAAGTATCTTTTATAATATCAATTTATTAACAGTATCAGAACTTTAACAAGAAATCGTTTGTTTTATAAGTATTATAAATGGGGCATCCAGATGCATTATTTATCATGCATTTGGCGAAATTTCTTTTATAATTTACACTATTTTTGTCCAAACTTGCATTTCCAATAATCTCTGATTCAATGTGAAGTAGAGGAAATATATTATTATATACTGTTTGAGAAAGAAAAATTATTTCATAACGCTATTATTGTTTTTAAAATAAAACAAATTCAAAATTTTGAATAAATATATCTTAAAAATTCCTACAAACTCTCTGAACAGACAATTTCAAACATATGCAGAAACGTAATATTATTTAGATATATTTCAGTGGGAATAGAACTCAATTTAGATTTGTAACTACGGTTAGCAGTTCCTTATCGAATTTGTTTCCTCTACAGTGCCATTAATGTCCTAAGACTAATTCCAGGCGAATACTAAAGGAGGTCCGTACTAACTTCAAGGTAGAACAATTATTTCGAAAAGCCCAGGCATCGAGCACTCCTTTTACTACTACTTTCATCCTAATAGAATTACGATAGCCTAAAAGCGTTTATTGTAGAATTGTACAAACAATCACGTTTCTATAAAATACACATGAAATAAACTTGTACGTGATTATACGCATTTTGAAACCCTAACCCAAAGAGGCCATTAGCCATTACGTGTATTATTCTCGGTGGTACAGCTCAGAGTTGTGGGGTGTCCTTGGAGTTATTATGACCGAGGAAAATCCCTCGTCTTCACAATTATCATTACTGGGGTGATTAACTATTCACGCAAAAGGGAATTCCTGGATTGTATTAAAATCTGTGTTACGTCCCATAATGACACTTTGCGGGGAACGGTGTGTAGATGTGGTGTTAAAAATTGTCAAGAAGAGTATTTGCTGTTCTTTTTGAGAGTAGTTGTTTATCTTATGATAACGCGCTATGTGTGAACGCTTTAATTGTTAGCGTAAACAATGATGAAATTAGGTAGACAAAGATATGAAAGCATTTACGGAACTGGTAAATTAAGAGTTTCCGGAGAATGAGAAAATTCAGACAAGTAAGTTTTCTTACATTACATTAAGAACAAGTTAACATAGTTAATTCTTAAGAGAGTTACTTTGTGTCTGTGCATTTGCCAGCAAAAGCTCTTCAGTTAAATAAATAATTAGGGGACTTTACCTAGTACCTTTAAGAAGGCAATAGGATTATATATGAAAGTATTAGAG